TGACGATATTTCGACTTTTTGTGCTATTGCACTTAATGGCCGGCATTACCCCTCGCTTTTTTGCACCTCCATTTTTCACCACATTTTCGCGTAGGCCCTGAATCTGTCATCAGTGATCTGAGATACTAAAACTGGGTGTTATCTGAAAGCCTATTCCTTTGGCTATAACCACAGTCAAAATCACCATAAAATAGCTTCAAATAGCTAAGCTATTGAGCAAAATGCTTATGGTGTCGCCATTGCCCCACTCTCCCCTATGATATACTCGTAACCGTAGGTTGTTTAAAATAGACAAACACTTTTCGTTAGATACCGATGTATGGAGCAGTTCGCCAGTCTCGGCCCACACCGGAGCACTCAGCCGTCATCAGCGAGAGGCTCCTTTCTGGGCCGTCTCTGTGAAAACTGCGGTTCCGCCGCCGGCCTCACATTCAATTAAGGTCGGCAGATCGATCGGCGCTCACTGCGCTCCGCCCCGCGGGCCGCACCCGTGACCGCTCCGTGACCCGCCGTGACCTGACGTGACCGCACAGTGCGTGTCGGCTCCCGTGCTCAATGATACCTCCCAACAGTTCCAACCACGCGTGCTACCAGGGTTCTGTTCGGACGCTGCCAGTGAACGAGCAGAAGCAGTTTGGCCTCGACCCTTTGGGAGCAGGTCGCCGAAGCGGGTGAGAGGGGTGCCTGGTGAGGGGCAAAACCACTTGCGGTTGGGGAAGACGAGCTAGCAATTTGTTTTACGAGTTACGCGTTGCACTATATGGGAGTCTAAATTCTCAGGCATGATATATGAGCTGAGGGTACAGCACTAAATTAGGGTACACTTAGCATTGCGCAATATATGTATACTTGTAGGCGTAGAAACAGTGCTTTTCAGGATGTGATCGATGCGTATTCAAATATCTGCATGACGTTTCAAGTCCATTCAATACTTCTGAAAAGTCTCGTTGAGCCATGGCGAAGCCCAGCCAGTGTGTTGACTTTCCGCTGGCCTGGTCCACCTCTCTCTCCGGAGCGATTCTCAGTACCATAACGGAGAGAAAGCGAGCAGCGTGATGCGAACAACACCAGTAAACAGTGCGTGAGGAGCGACCACGGACGGTAACGGGCACGGTCTCTCCGTGAGAGAGAGGGACAGAACGCGTGAGAATACGGGACGGGAGGAGAGCGAGACAAGGTCAGGGCCGGCGCGGCGATGGAGAGCTTTGTACGGGGGCCGTACAGGAATGTCGATACCATCGGCACAAGGTGGACGCTGATGGAACGTGTGTGCGGTAAAAATACATACGATGACTAGGTGGGTTTTTATACATGTAAATCGGCGCGTGAGTTAACGCCACTGGTAATCAATTACGAGTTGACATCATGTTTCAAACTGACATTAATAATATGATACACTGCCTACTGATTTACATGTTAAATATTCAGTACCTAAAGAGGCATATATCATCTACAAATAATCGCCTGTAGATACATCGGGTACCAGTTCAAAATTGCATCAGCGTTGCATCAACAAAGGTGACAGATGAAGGCATCAAGGATGCCAGCATTTCGTCCTTGAAGTTTTGAACCCATCAACGATTACATGAACAACGTTCATGAAGCTCGTGTGTCTTGGTAGAAACTAGAATTGAATACATTAAACATATTGGCTTGATCTTAAATATGTTATAAGCGTGAATATCGAAACACACATGAGCACATGCCAGTTCAATGCATCTTGCTTCTAAATCTAAGCCACATTAAGCAGTGAGTGGACTGAAAGGACCAGTTGGTCCTCTGGTGCCTGTGTCAGCAGCAGTTCCCGCTCCTACCGACCACGACCGGACCTGCTGAAGTTGGCGTGGCGCTCACCACTCCAGCACCCTGCCACTCGGTCGGGTCCTGCGACCACAGGCCGGCCGACCCAGACAAGTAGGCAGGTATCCCACTATCCCAGTATCTAGACCACCGGCCTCCGCCGCCGCCGCTGCCGCCGGGGTAGTCCGTCCAAGGCTGACCGCGCCTGCAGGTCATCCCCACGTGCACGGTGGCGGGCCGTGCACAGCTGTGTGTGCACCGTGCACGGAGCGGGGCCCCTCGGACCGGTTGGTCAGCCGGTCGGAGGAGGAGGCTACCCATGTCCGGCTATCGGCCGGGTGGAGCCCTGGAGCCCCCACGCGGCGGCACGGCCGCTCTCCAGCGAACATACACTCCCGACAGCATCGACGGCCGTGCATGGATTAGAGAGCGGCGGCTCGGCGACGTCAGCGACCCGACCGGGGTGCGCCGGCGAGGAGCAATGGCGCATGGTTCCCGGAATAAATCAGCCATGGGAACACCGAGGCAATGTTCGAGACGAGTGGATCATGAGACGTGAGATATTATCATATGTCTACAATCATTGGCGTAGTATGCCGGGTAGGAAACTATTGTGAGCAGGCAAAACATTCAATTATAATTGCAGGAAACCAATGATTAATTAGCAAATCCATCAGGATCAGTCAAGGCATGACGTAGGACAGCGAAGTTCACTTCACTTCGAATTATTCATTTATTATCAATGTTTGTTTTCATAATAATAACAATTGCATTAATTTCTATTTCTTTTAAAATATACAAGGAATTAATACGCAGTAGGTAGCATATAAAATAAATCATTGTTCTGATATCACTTTACTGTCGCAAACGCTATAGTACAACTTGATTTACTTTATCTGCGTCGATTGAACTATCAGCTACTGAACCAAGACGTCTAATGCAATCAACTGCACAATCATAGCAGGGGAGAAATTTGATTGATCCTACTATTTACCGCGATAGCCCCGGCACATCCGTCCATTATCCGAGGTCAAAGCTCGCAACATTCATTGCCATATCCTTTCAAGCATCGTCAGCATTGTACCGGCAATAACGCTGTTTCACCTCACATCTTAGTCGCCGGCCAGAGCATGTTTGACGACCTCAGCTGTGATGTGAGGATATCACCGTCGCTGGGTATCTGAAGACAGGGTTCACAAAAGCCGGAACGTGTGGTCTAGATCTGTCAGCTATGCTAGGCTTGAGCAGTTTATTGAGACAATTTTCGCCGCAACTTATCATTACGAGGCTGGTGATAAATTCCAACGGATCCGGCCGCTTTCGAAACGATCTAATGACTGCCTTGGTGCCCTGTCGAACAAAAACCGGCAGCACCTCTTCGTGCTGCTCTCGTTCGCTGGCCACCGGGACTGCAATGGACGGTTGGAAACATCGAGATTCTTCAAGCAATGCATACTCGTAGAGAAGAGAGACAGGCATTCCGGTGCTTAGTTGCTATGGGCACTATTGATATACACGTGATATGCAGACAAATTTGAGAATAAATATATGACCCTTCTGTCGAAACAAATATCCGTGCTAGCAAAACAAAGTAGGCAGGCACATCCTACAAGCGGCTACGGAAAATGGATGCATGCATCTGTTATAAATTTCACAAGTAAACAACCTTGAGTGAATGCGCGCTTGAAGACAACAGACGATCAAAAGTGTGACATCATTTACCCCGAAAACTATCTATTACCGAGCCATCAGTTAAGGCACTGTAAGCTGACAAATACTAGCAAAGAAGATAAGGTCATGCCCCCACCTCATAAAAGACAAAACGTGTTGAAGGAAGGAAGGCGCACGCACTCAAGTCCATTCAACTGAGTGGCGATTCTAAGAAGCCGAAAGTATTATTGCCGCCGCCCGGGCCGCATCGGCCATACGGAAGGCCATTGTCGACAGTTCACACGAGGACGTACCCACAACTGGCCCGGAAGACGATCAGCATTGCCTTTGATCCTATTTCCCTTAACTTTAACCCTATATGTATTTCAACCGAACCGGGTACCACACTTTTGATGATGTTTATTATTTATGCATAACGAAACGACATCCATTTGGTATGTGTTATTTACAAAAAGTATATTTTTTACATTGTTAGCGAAATATATCCTAAGTAGGTAATGCAGCAAAACGGTTAATGCTTTCAGATTAACCGTGCATTTTTTACATTGTTAGCGAAATATATCCTTAGTAGGTAATGCAGCATACCCTTCTCTGATGTAACCATCAGTTTACGATTTTACAAAAGTAACTGAACGAGTGCCTGTGGTTGAGATGCATCAACAGTTGTAGACGAAACAAAAGCAGTAAAGCGATAAATGGAGTCAAAATGATAATCATAGGGGAAATAGGAGCATGCAATTTGAACACAAAACTTTCCGCGAAGAACTTTTCAGTTTGCTGCACAACACATAGGGAGGTATTGTCAGTCATTTATGGGAGATCAATGGCAGTAGGTATAACGATAAGGAATCGCAATATCAACTTTGTCAAACCACATTCTCTAATGACGGTTTCAAAAGACCTTGCCACAGCATTCAAATATCTTTTTAGTTTTTGTCAAGATGTAAAAAGAAAACTATGCAGGGAGACCTGCATCATGATCATGGTTCCATTCCCCAGAAATTGTCCGTCTGGTGATGTCCTATTAACCACGAATATTTGAAGGCTACGGGCCATCATGGAGCCCGTTCGTGAGAACAATCATCATCCATGTGAAGAAAATAAAATACGGCCGATTACCTGAGCGCCTGTACCACGGACGTGCTGAATAAGCCCTAATAACGTGCCATATAGTCAGCGGCGCTCCTGCCGCGGTGGGCTGGCGTGCGCGAGCCACAGCGCTCCGGTCATGATGCCCCGCTCAACTGGGGCTACAATCAGTATCGGGCTGGATCTGCTAACTGGGGTGCACCAAGTATGGAGCACGACAGGACGCTGCTGAGAGTGTGCTTGTTTGTAAAATGTGTGGTCTGTAATTGGGATTTTAGAGGCCAGCTGTAATGCAGACTAGTACTACGTCATCGACTTGGTATCACGTGCGGATAAATTTAATCGTCGTTACATATTGTTCAAAGCATGACATCATTGCGGAACACAGAATTTGCGTGCATGTGGGTACAAAGCAGAGAGGGCAGAGCCAATGGACTGACCGGTAAGAGCAGAAGGGCATCCAGCGTGTGTTTGGCAGCTCCTCTCCTCAGCCTGCAGAACTCTACAAACTCCTCGTCTGTCGCCTGCTTCTGCCGATATAGCCTGTGAACAGGACACACATCATTAACTTCACAGGGCAGGCTTTCCCCCTCCCCCCGGCTATAGCCTCACGGCTAGCCGGGAGGACAAAAAAAAAATAACGGCGCACACGGATCAGATAGCCAAACCTGATCAACTGCAGCCTTATATCATGACCTTTGACCACCGAGCACGAAATCGACACCCCGGAGCGTGGACGAGCCGTGATTCTACGTTTGGGGAGTTCCAGGCTGTGCCACAGCAGGTCAGCAGGTGTATGTATTCTGGACCGCGATCAAAGCCGTGTAGGCAAAGCCAACGAACGACATCACCTCAAGGGAAACACGCCTTAGCGCCGAGCCGTGATTACACAGCGCTAACAGCGCACAAACGCCGATCTAGGGGTCCAAAGTTCAAGGTGAGCGTTTTAGCCCAGCTTGACGTTGCTCCAAGGAGCGATTACCGAAAATAAAGCGAAGCTTTACAGAGGGAGAGTGCGAAAGTTTAGATTGGAAAGCAGCTGCAGAAAACGTGGCATGCAAGAACATTGCATGTAAAGGACAATTATCGTTCGTGGACGGGAAGAAACCAGCGGTTTCCTAAAAAACAGCCGAATATCTGCTTATTTTTTTATAACACAGTTGTACTGCATGACAAAAGTAAAATACTAGCAATGTTCTTGACGTATATGCAACTCTGCTCTCTTTTGGCGACTTTACTTAAGTCTTAATCCGTTCATCCAAGTGACGCTTGGACTTTGCGACAATGAGAGAGCTCGGGAAAGCGCTATAATGGCTCAAAACGAATGTCTATTGCCTATGCAACATTGTCCAAAATTGGCAGAATCACAAGGCATCCAACCAACAAGCTTTAGTTACAGCCGATCCAACTAATCCAATGTTTGTAAGTCCTTACCGTCTGGCGGTTTGGTGGAACTTGAGGTATTCTTCGTACTGGTGGATAAGCTGCTTCGAGAACAAACCACCTGTAATAGGTAATGGCAGTTCAGAGAAAGCAACGGTCACTACTCACTACAGCACTCTGATGCAAGTAGGTACAAATATCAAGAATGCGTAAGTTTTAGCGTTTCAAGGATCAGTCAATATGTCATCACAACAGTCAACTTAAAGAATATTGATTATAAGGTTGCATGCCAATGACGTGCCTCTGACATCGTCTTGAAATCTGACTAAAATTATTGGTCATGTAAATAGGCTGAGCTAGCACGAGTGTAGGTAGACCAAAGGCCGAAGCAAGAATGTACAGAAGCAAAGAATGTCTGGAAGCGCCCCCTGCACGTGCGCACGTGCAGTAGCACCTTAACCGCAACACATGGGAATGCATTGTCTGGTGGGTGCCTACCTGTATGCCAAGTTTCAGCGAAATCGCCCCAGTAATTACCAAGTTATTAAAATGGGAACAAATTTGACACCTCTTATTGTTGTATTGTTATCAAGTATGCCAAGTTTGCCATTGTAAACTTGGCCAAGTTTGTACTTGGCCACGTTACCAAGGTCATACCAACCATTGTAGAACCAAAGTAACCAACCATACTTTGTACCAACAACCAACAACAACCAGTATACCTACAATACCTATATTGGTCAGAGGCATTCTTGGTGCCGTGGCATGACATACCACTAGTAGTAGTGGTATGTCATGCAGGTCGAGTTACATGGAATGTATGACTAAACGGTGATATTTCTGACGGAACACGACCGCCCTAGCTATTCATTAGCGTTTTACACCGCCAATTTGTCCTTCTGTAAAGGAGTGGTTCCGATTCGGCCCGCCCTTTTCCCAGGCGATGTTTTGTGGGTTTGAGAGCGCTCCATCACTCTGGGGGCTCCGCCCGCTGTTTGGGTTATAAACTGGGAGTGGCAGCCGAGCGACCGCCCAGAATTAGACCCGACGACCACCAGCGAAACAGACACCTGCCCACAACAACAACCCGACGATACGGCAGTGATTGATTGTGATGGCTCGACGATTATTTATGATCTATAATCAACAAACTTCTGCGGGCCGGCCGGGTCTGTCTGTCCATCCCGGGCGCCCATCGGCTCATCTCCCGGCCGTCTCGCGGCAGTTCATTGTTATGCACGGGCGGTGGCCGGGCCACCGACAAAGGTAACACCTGAAGGCCGCTCCGGACCGGGGCCATCGGCCGACAAACAAAGACGGCACGCGGTCGGCCGGTCAGAGTCGGCCCTCACCGGACGGTGCCCATCTCGTGACATACCGAGAGCCGTGATGGTACCGGACGGACGCTTCTCGCCCCGGGCGAAATAGCTGACCCGGACGACCCCGGAGGGCTGATTGGTCGGATAAACGGACTAATCAGTGATACCGTCGGATATCGGCCTGATTTTACGTTCAAACCCATACACGATGCCGACGAAAGAGGGCTGGACATGGTGTTGTTTTTGACACCTCAACCTGAATTTCTGAATGTTGCCCTTCTATAATTCCACCAAGGACAGTTTAGAAAAACATATAATAGCGCACTGAAAAACATGCATAACCTAACCACCTAACTTATATGAGGCTACAGCAATGAAATTTTGGTATGCGTATTTCGCAAGCTTCGTAATTAAATTTGGCATTAAAACTCGTATTGTAACGCTGTTAAATGATCGCGGATTAGCAGTTCCTCGGAAGATCATAAATCATAATCGTGAATTATAAGGTCAAATCAGCGCCATCACAAGTTATCCATGAACGTGAACAAATCAATGGATTACACCTGCTGCCTGTCTGACAGCAGGTGTAACTAAATGGTGCCCCACTCTCAAAGCACAACATCCTCACTAAAGACTATTTGTTGCACTTACCGACTCGAGTTGTCTCGGAGTCCCACGTGTCCAGGGTACTCTCCAGCTGAAATGGGTTATGGTAAACGGTCAGAATCACATGACATAGAAGATACAACGGTCAAACTTACACTTCACACAGACACAGCAGTCAGACGTTATACTTCACATATCACACAGACGGTAGGTATTCAAATTTACACATCGCATATCTGTTAGACTAGGTCCACTCAACACAGCGGTTCGTAACTGGATACAGCGGTCACCGGCGCATTAATCAATACCCGGATGCCATAGCCTCGCTAAAAGAGAGGGAGGAGAGAGAGAGAGAGAGAGAGAGAGAGAGAGAGAGAGAGAGAGAGAGAGAGAGAGAGAGAGGAGAGAAAAGAAGAGGGAATGCGAGAGCGAATTGGGAAGAGGATTGTGGGGGGAAAAGAGAGAGGAAGGAAAGGAGAGCGAGAGCGAGAACGACAGGAAGAGAGAAATAGACAACTTCATTTCAGCAACGTATGCATTAATTTAAAAAAATGGTTTAACTGGCTCAAGGAAGCAGAAATTAGCGTAAACTACACCCAAGGCGGTAAATGATCTTGCAACACAAAAGACGACTCCTTTTAATTTCTCGCCTTGTGCTCCAGATGGCGGTTGGGGTAATTAAACTGGGACAATGAGAATTGTAATAAGACGAAAATCTTCCCCGAGAGTTTACTGCGACGTTTTTATTTTCAGTGCGAGATGTTTTGAAATGGCAGACCCGGATAACTATAAGAAAAATGACAAAATATACAGATGAGTGCGCAACACTGACACAGGAAGAGAAGATTGAACATATAGGGAAGATTAACTGTGGTCGCTAAAGGCGAATACCTAACTAAATATTTCAATATTGATATTGACCGACAAATAATGATAAGAATAAAAAGGTTATGCATAAATATGCATATAGTTCATATTAACCCGCGCCCCGTTGGGCTCTGCCGAGCAACGCGCCCCGTTGGGGGGGGGGGGCCATTTTGCCCCCCCCCCCCCTAAGATCACGAGAACCACGCAACCTAGCGACAAGCGGCAAACGGTGTTGGATAGCCCTATCTGGGAACTACCTTGTGACCCAATTTTATTGACCTAGGTCAAACCGATGACGTCACAGGTCAGGTCAAAGGTCCAATTTTCACCGTTTATAGGCATTTCAAGAAATGCGTTGTAAAATCGAGTAAAATGCATTTCATTGAAAATCATCGATGGGGAAATGTTCTTCAAACACATATTTTGCTATTTGAGGTCACTGATACCAGGTCAGGTCACAGAGGTCAGGTCACTGGGGGGTCACAATATGAAAGTGTCGTGTGATACATGTTTTATGGTCCATTTCACATGACAAATGCGATTATGTGGGTCAGGCAGCGTTTGGGGCCAGCCTGGGTCACGTTTTGGTCAAGGTCAGGTCAAGGTCAGGTCAAGATCAGGTCAAATTAGGTCAAATTTCAAAGTTGATATTTTTGCATAAAATGGGTATCGAATCGATGCAGCTCGTCACGGGGAGTTCAATGGTGGTCTTTGTTTTGCCGTACGTGGTCTAGAATCGCTAAAAATTGAGTTCAAAAGTTTGACGTCATCATTTTTGAACAGTTTTTTTGCTATAACTTGGCCAAAAAACGAGATATCGATCTGAAATTTAGTATGTATATAGAAGGGCGCAGGGACTATCACATATATTCCGGTTTTTTCGAAATTCGGAAAAATTTTGGATTTTTTTTAGTTTTTCTAAAAAAAAATCATTTTTTTTTAATTTTTTGGGGTCAAAAACCCAAAATTTTGAAAATCCGAGATAGCAGTTTTGTAGCGCCGCTTTTTGTCTACTAGACCATATAAAGAACTTTAAAATTGCTTGATAACTGTAGATTTGGTGAGCGTTTCAAGATTGCATGTTTTTTGCTCATTTTTGCTCGAACATGACCTCAGTTTGACCTCAATAACTCCTGACCTAAGGTGACCTAAGACTTGAAATTTTGTGTGAAGGTGTCAAATTGATGCCCGGGAAGGTACTGAAAATTTGGCGGCGCTGCGCGCCGCCGTTTTCTTGCTATTCAAGAAAAACCACAGGGGGGGCCAAAATGGCCCCCCCCCAACGGGGCGAGGGTTAATTTGGCTACAGTGCTGAAGTGTTATGAAAACACAAGCACAGCATGATTTACCATCTCTCTAATAAAAGCGGTAACGTTACGACGCGTTAACATGGAAGATACCACGCCCCTCCTATAACTATCCTGGCGCCACTCCACCTGTGGTGCTTTTGGAGCCATTCCCGCATGCCTTTGTTCTCATCTTACGGCGGCGGTTCAATCGACAGAGTAATAGCCACACAGCCACCGCACACCCTCTCGTTAACAGTGATTTTAACATGTCTCATTCGCGGGGCGCCCAGTGTTCCTCAGCCGAGTAATCGACTCGCAAAATTAAAAGCAGCACTGTAAAGCGCGCTTCATATCGCCGTAAATTGCGGCCGGATGGCTGATAATTTTCCCTCTGTCGTCATTACGCCTTAGTTGGAAATTCTGGCCGGCCGGATAAATGCTGGCCGGGAGTGTGCAGATCATGACTGCGCCGCCGCCCCCGGCGGTCGGTTGCCGGCCTGGGGGGCGGCGGCGGAGGCGGCGGTGGCGGCGGCGGCAGCGGCGGGGCAGAGCCTTCTTCGAACGGCGCCCTGCAGCGGCCGGCAGAGGCGGCTGCTCCGGTTGGGACCAGGTGCGAGAGCAGGGCGGGACGGAGGTGGAGTCGAGGCATTGTAATGGTAGGGAGTTATTCGGCGGAAGCTCTGACGTCGGGCGGAGATAATTGGACGATTGTTTCCGTGAAGATGCAGAGCAGAGACATTATGCATTTTCAATAATGTCCAGCGATAGATGTGTAATTTCAAAGCCCCAACAGAGTTTCAAATGAAAAGTCTGGCCCAAGCTAGTCATTCACATTTTAGAAACAACTCCCTGAGTCGTTTTTTTTTAGCATCAGAGTTGCTAAAGGTCCGAAAGAATTGTAACGAGGCGTGTTCAGTGCTGGCAGAGGGAGGGATCTGACCAGAGGCGGCTTAAAGAGTAAAGAGAGGCCTATGACGTTTAGATTTGATAAAAGATCAGAGTTCAAAAATTAGCAGCCCAAAAAAGAAGAAGAAAAAAACAAAGCCTCTCTTCATCGTGGTCAGCACTCGGAACGCTCGTCGAGCATTTCACCGGTGAGGAACGCTGACCAGGGCGACACCTGGGGTCACCGATAGTTGTTTCTGCTACCGCTAGGTGCACCATAGCCATGCAGCTCAGCCCCGCAGGAGCTCGGGATCCCCCAGCCTTCAGACACCACCAATTAACTGAACAAACCCTTCACAGACACACTTATCCCACACCACGACACCTGAGAGCTACCACAGGCCTCTCACAACACTCCCTCGACTAAATAACCCTCTCACCTTGCTGATTAGCATGGCGCTGACGGAGCACACGGGCTGTATACCGGTGAAGAGTTGCCGGTGTTCCTCAGCACTGATGGAGCTCAGTTTTCGCAGCGGGGTGCCGTATACGTGCTCCAGCGAGCGCACTGAGGCCAGGTAGCGCCGCTCACCGGCCAGCAGACACTCGGTCAGACGGTACCGGGCGTCAGTCGCTGGAACAGAGAGAGGAACGGGAGTTAGACACTCGGTACACTCGCTGCGACACAGGGGAACGGGGGTTGGCGAGAGAGACGATGAACGGGATACACTCTGGAAGCAAAGTACTGTGGGCCAACAGCAGTACTTTCTAAGAGCAGGGCACAAGCAATGAATTCGCAAAACGTATAGGATGGGACCATGGCGAGATCGACACTTCAACACCGAGTTCTCTGAGGTCCCTAAACCGAGCTTCAGGCCAGGGCCGATCATGTAGATGGCGCTGAGGCCACGGTTAAGCTCCTCGCCCTAGCAGATGGCGCTACCGGCGTTTTGCTGGCTCATTGTGGTCTACGTAACCTGCGGGAAGTGGTCCGAGTGAGTTCGAAGTTCGGACCAAACAAACGACCAAGGACAAAGCGGAGAGACGCAAAGCTTTACGAAAGCAACACACTTGCATCACCTCCCCCGTTTGCTTGTCGCCAGTGTCGCCAGTGTGTAGGTCTGCTTCGGTTGATCGTTGAACCATTGATAGATCAGCTAAACATTTGCGATCGGGTTGCATCATGGATGCCTATTTATTTTGATAATCACTTACCATTGACCATCTCCATGTCCCGATGGTTGCATCAGTAACAGAACTGTCTGTTAGTGACGTACATGAAATGATGGCATTGTTAGAGGAGAAACAAAACAGCAAACAGGTCTGCAATTGGCATCGAATGTTCAGCACCTCTGCTCGGTAACTTCTTATCAGATTGAATCGAATCACATTCACTTATCTACCAATCATTCAGCGAAAGATAGGAGGCTGCAGTTTTCATTCCCTGTTTTAATTGAGTGTCAAATGGTTGACAAACAACACTTGAGCGTGGGAAGGGAATTAAAATCGACAGATAATATCGGCATTTGTCAATTTGTCAATCAGTAGTCTGCGAGCATGAGAAGGTAACCCATACCCATGCACTAGACGATGCATCGATAGTTGACAGTACTTATCAATTTATCATGTTTCTCGTTAGTATGAAGCTATGGACTATTCAGCCATATAACCCCAGGACGTGCCGTTAACCCTCGCCCGCACATGGGGGGGGGGGGGTGGTGGTTGCCACCCCACCCCCACCCCCCCAGGTAGTCTTTCTGCTCTGCACTCAACATTTTTTAGAGCTAGGAGGCTGATTTTTCGTATAGCTGCTCCTCTATCCTTTCTTGATGTTCACTGAAAATTTCAAGTTTCTGTGGTTTTTGGTTTCGGAGATATGACCTTGTTTTTCAGGTCATGTCATGACCCAAATGGCCAATTCTCAACATCTTGCGTTGGCTATGGGCCTTGTGAGCTTTTGACACCTTGATTTCGGCCTTTTTTGCCAGTCTTACCTCCCACCTATCATGGAACATGTTGTTCGACGATGTACAGATGTCAAGGTCAGGGTCAAGGTCAACCTAGGTCATCTAAGATAATTGCGTTTTAGGCAAGCGGAATTTATTTTTTTTTGTGAATTTTTTTGACTGCATTTTTGGTAAAAGCTTCTCAGATCATGATTTCATGTAATATGGACACATTAACAATCGGTGCACACATCAGTACCTATACACACAGACACACACAGACATACAAACACATATAATTGACCTTGACCTAACTTGACCTGCATTGACCTCAGCAGCAAAAACCTGGTCGGGTAGTGTGACTAAGAGGTTCTAGCTGGCTTGGCACCAGAAAACGGCATCGTCATCGGTATATGATAAGCAGCGCACTTGATATCCAACGGTGACCCAAAACAGCAACATTTTTTAGTTTGACCTGACCTGGAAGGTCAATGACTGACCTGAGAAGGTAAAACTGGGTATCATTGGATTCGTCTCTTCCCAAAGAATCTTTTTGGTCCTTACCGCTAAGCTCTATCTCCAACAGGAACGAAATGGCGCGGGGGGGGGGTGGCAACCACCCTCCCCATGTGCGTTCTAGGATGGGAAAATGGCATGTGCGGGCGAGGGTTAAGCTTATTAGTTAGGTACCCCAGTGCCGCTGGACTCATTAGTTAAGGTCTAGTCATTTCACAGGTAATAGACCTTGTACCTATCAAGCTTGCACAGTACATATCCCTGACACTAAGGCTAAAATAAAAAATATGCTCTCCAAATATGGTTCATCCATATCCGTTGTCACTAACAAATGTTTGAGTTACGCATCGCATGAAGTCGCGCCGTAGCAGCAACAAAAATGTCCGAAAAAGTCATTCATGAGCAATGAGCAATGATTCCTTCCAACATCACACCCATTAGAAGTGGCCCCCATGTGTATGCATGAGGTATGTAGTATGTAGACAGTAGACAGTAGACACCTTTCCATGATGTTCCCTCCCTGTCTACAGTACAGCAACCAGCAAGGTTCAGCGCTCCGAGACCACCATGGTGCGACCACCCACCTGAATGTGTGACAGATACCTGTCCCACTAACGTGAGAGTCCCATCCCGCCTGAAACCGGGCCCATTCATCCAGCACCCCCGAGGCCAGGACCTTCCAGCACGGAGGGCACATTTGGCACACTGCACTCGCCCGGCGATTTTTATGCACGGCTCACTTTCACTTCTAATAGTCCTCAGGCGCAAACTCAATTAGGGCGGCACGCAGCATCCCAGAGGTCGCAGAGCGACGATCAGCGTTGCACATCTGTCTCGTAGATAAAGTGGCACTACCTGCCTTGGTTTCAGCAGAAGGGACAGGCGGAGTTATCCCGGCAGTTGCTGGGGTATTTCGCCACCCACCGTTTGCTGGGGGGGGGGGGGCGTTAAACGCCCCCACCCGATAACTCGAGAACCAATAGGCGCAGCGAAACGCACGAGGCGGCAAACGAAAGAGCGCGACGAGACGCTTCAGATGAGTACTTTAAAGTTGAATTTTGAGGTCACAGGTCGGGTCAAGGTCAGGTCAAACACCTAAAATCGGGCTCTCAGTAGCATGGACTTCAGGACTTCGCAATGGGCGCCTCTCGTCATAAACTCTGTCCAAACGGTGCACAATCCATCATATAAGGCCTACAAGAGTGTCAGCTCCATGTAGGGGTCAGTCAAGCATAGGTCAGGGTCAAGGTCAGGTCAACCGGGTAGGCACATATCCCCGAAAATCAAAACTGATATTCGCAGCCTGTGACACATGTTTTATAGGTAATTTGGGGCGTAGAACACGATGGTGACATTCATTTTATCATATGTGTGCGTGTTTGGCTCAAAAAGATCAATTTAAGAAATGCATGTATCATGGTCGTGAAGTAGTTAGTCATGAAAAATTGCCAAGATTCAGTTCAAGATTATGGAAAATGCGGAACGATAATCAATAATCGAAGATAGCCATTTGATTGATCATGGTATTGACAGTCTAATGGCGTTTACGGCATGTCTGTATGTCTATTCTGTGATTTTATATGATTTTTTGAACATATGCCATTTTTGGTCGAAAACTCAGAAATCATGACGTCACTAAAACCTCGATATCTCAAAAATTTTCCGACTGATTTTTTTGAAACTTTGTCACAATAAACTTCAATCAATTCCCTACAGGTACCCAAAATTTGGCGCGCCTGCGGCGCGCCGTTTTTATGCTATGGCCCGGCGAAAAAAGTGGGGGCGTTTAACGCCCCCCCCCAGCAACTCGCGGGTTATATTGTGAAAGTTTATCGTGATGTAGGAAAAAGGGGGAATAAGCCATCGAAGCTACAGCAAAGGACGTATCTTGAAGGGGCAGTGATCCGAAACATATACTTTTATAGCTATCGCTGGATAAGGCAAGGCGGGAGACCACTCAGACCAGTCCTCTGTATAAAGTTCCTATCCCGATCGTAAGTCACATCCCGTCGCCCGTCGGAATCTATCGATCATTTAAATATAACTGGCCTCCATTGTTAACCCCAAATCGTTCGGGTTTCCCGTCGACATCCTAGTAACAACCACTCCCGTACCGCACCGGGAGCGGTTCAAGGGCGTCACTTCTCAAGGACCCGGCGCCCGACTACAATCCAAAAAGTCACGCATGTCGCCCGTGGCAGTCATGATTCGGACATCACCGGTAGTTTATTCGGGCACTTCCCGAACTCCGGCCGCTGTCGACCCGTCGGCGTGGAGGCCAGGTGCGCCGGTGTCGGTAGCGCGCCGATACATATCTGGCGCACGGCGCACGTAATGATCGGACACAAAACCACCGACACCTATGTAAGCAGATCCCCACAGAAAGCAGATCCAGACTAGATCTTTGAGTAGACATTGTATACTCGTAAAATACATATAGTATGATGAAGCCGGCACTAAGTAGAATGAATAAGTCGACACGCAACAACTCAGACATGATGTCCATTTTCACCCATAAAATAAGCAAACTTGAAACAAGTTCTGCTAAGCTATGCAAACGAACTTCGAGCAATGTCCTCACCGAATCATTATTTCTTTTTTTTTTCGTTTCGTTTCCCTCGTTAGGCCTGCTGATCTAGCAGTCCTGGCCCGAGGGAACGAGAACTAAGACGTCATTGGATGTTGACATGCTGCGATTTGTTGCGAACAGTAGCAGCACTGTTCACGTTGGCAGTAGCAAGCCCAAAATCACGGATCCCGTACGGGAGACGCATCCTGACAATGCCATATACACCATTTCCTCCCGTCCCGTGTCCGAGTGAAGAGCGCTATGCACCCGAGGCCGGCCGGCAGCTGGACGCCCGTCTGACGGATGAGCCATCCGTAATGACCAGGTGAGACAGCCGGCGCCGATATACCGGACCTCGCGGCACTGCCATTGACCCCAGAGATTTGACCCAGCGGCACTGCCGATCAGGCCAGAAGCACTGGCATTGACTCCAGGGACCGTAGTACTGCTACTGAACCCGTGTCAGGCCTTGCGGCACTGCCACTTAATCCAGAGATCAGGCCCGGCGGCACTGCCACTGACACCAGGACCGTAGTGCCGCCATTGACCACATATCGGGCTCTAGGCACTGTTACTGATCCTAAGCTAACTTGATCTGCCTGC